TCGAACACGAATGAACAAATATTAGTTCGTGTTGTTCGTGTTCGGCTCGTTAACTTAGCGAACGAGCTGAACGCGAGCTTCTTAACGAGTCGAACACAAGTTATTCGCGAACAAAACAACGAGCCTTTTTGACAGCCCTAATTTTAACCCCTTTCATTTCCAATATTTCCATGTGATATCCTTGATAAAGGGTGAATTAGGATCTTTTTCCTCTTGGCTTCAGCTCTCTGATCTTTTGTGCACAGGTTAGGATTTTTCTTTATGGTTCTCATTTTATCTCACTCGATTGGTGACATGCCTTAACACTTAATCTATCCGTCTCTCTCATCATCTTTTTACATTATTACTCTCATAGCTGCATCTGGATAGTTTCGGCTTGGATTTTTTTTTGTGGAGGTTCTGTAGCTGGTTGGTTTTCTTTGAAATTTTAGATTTTTTAGATATTTTGTCTCATTTGTTTATTTTTAGTTTTGTTGGGTATTTGTGATGTTACATAGAATTCTTAAATGGGGAGGATAGCGTTTGATTTGAATTGTTTCTTGATTTTTTCTGTCTCTGTGATAGTGGAATAATCTTCTTGGAATGTATGTTGGTTTTTTTCTTTATGTAGTTTTGTGATCATTGGTCTGATCTTGTTGGATTATTTTTTTTATTTTTTGTTGTTGTAATTATGTGATCATGGGTAGCTGTTGGTCTCTTATTTTTCTCACATATCATTGTTGTGATGATTTTTTTCTTAATGATAAGATGTTTTATATTTTTAGCTCCTTTATTTGTTTGTAAAGCATAATTGTGTGGCATGTTCGGAAATTTTTGACTCTATACTCATGTTGTGATCATATTTATGTAGCTTTGTGATCATGGCATCGATCATGATTTTTTCTTTCTGTTGTGCCACTTTACCGTGTTTGTTAGTTTAGTGCTCCCTCTTTTTTGAATAATAAGTATTATTTTGGTGTAATATATGTGAATACATCAGAATTGTGTGGAGGAAAATGAAAATTGTTTTTTTATCAACTCTCACTAATTAAAACATTTTGGTGTTAGATATTTAAATACATCAGAATTGTGTTGTGCGCAAGTATTTCTTGCAAGGCTTTCAGTATTGTGTTACAATATCGGGCATTTGTTTGCTATTTTAGTGTTAGATATGCCGAGACATTATATGTGCATAAGTTTACCATGCAGTATTATGACATTTAGGTGTTTGAGTTATAAATACATCAGAGTTTAATGTTATGTCAGATTTTTTTGGTTTAATCTCTCCAGTTTTTCTTACTGTACTTTGCAGTATCTGTTAGATATATAAATAAATTAGAATTGTGTGACCACAAAATTTTTGTCCGGCTTGCAATATTATCTTGCATTATCATGCCGAAGTTTGCAATTTAGTTGTTTGATATGAAAATTCGTTACTATTGTGTAGTATGTTCGAAAAATATTTGTTTAAGCTTTGAAATTTTTTTTATAATATCTTGTGTAAATATAACATTTAGGTGTTAGATATGTAAATACATTAGATTTATGTGGTATTTGAGATATGAAATGTTTCTTTCTTAAGGCAGTAACAATTTTGAGATGTTTCATACATATATATTCTTTGTAGTTAAAGCTTCCAATGTCTTTTCTTTTTTCGTTTTGCTTTTTTTTTTCTTCTAATTTTAATGATTTTTAGTTGCTATGATATGGATGTAACATTTTAATTGATCTCTTCATATTATATGGTTTCGTGATGGGGAAATCTAATGAATACACACTTGTTACTTGAAACATAGATATTAAGATAATTTTTTGTGATATATGCTTGGAAGAGATGTTTCAGGCAATCGACCTACCACACCATTTAATACTGAGGGGTCAGAAAACATAATCAAGGAATTTAAGGAATAAATTGGTAGAGAATATGTTTGGGGCCTAGCAAAAAAATTAATGGGATAAATTGAAAGAAGATTGGAAGGTGTGGAAGGAGTTAAAATAAGTTGTAGCTGAGCTGTAGGCTAGGACAACTAAAAAGACTATTAATGCCTCAGTCGTGTGGTATAAATTAAAGATGAAGATACAGCTTATTAATCTTTTTAGCACATATGCATGATTATTTAATATTAAGACTAGCATATTTTCATTATAAGTATTGTCTGAAGCCATAAAAATTAGATATACTGGGATAGATCAGGAATTGAAAGAAAAATTTGATGTAATGTTTGAAATTGGTTTAACGGGAATTCAAGCTTGGCCTTCAAGGCACCAAGTTGAAAGCTTAGGAAATGAGAGTCAGGCTTGTGAAAATGAAGGCATCTCGGATGATCTTGTTGAAATGTCTTGCAAATCTAATAATAGTATTTTTTTTTACATCAATCTTCATCTGGGCATGGTGTTGGGAAATACAAGCATACAGACACAAATTTCACTGCTTGTCTTCTCATGCAGAAGCATGCATTGCATTCAAGTCATCATCATCAATGTCTTATGCTTGATCAAACTCAAAATTTTTTGATGACATTCTCCGTTATTTCTTGCATCCAAATTTCTTGAAGCTCCTATAAAGCGGGAGATTTTTATGTCGATTGTTTCTAATAGATGAGTTCACCATCTTTGTCATTTCTTTCATAGCAAGGATGCTTGAACATTATATGTTATTATTGTTCATGAACATTAGACTTTTATTTTCATTGTGAAATATGAACATTTTTCGTTTTTGTCTTTTAAGTTAATTCAAAATGTTGATGGGTTCACTATCTTTTTGTATGTTATTGTTCATTTACTTGTATTTGCCTCTCATCTAGATGGCCTTCTAGGTAACCATGGGTATGTTAGGTTTTTTTGGACGACTATGATGTGATATAGGACCTTAGGGGTCTTTTGGATGATTTTTTTGGTGCTATAGTACTTGACATATACGATTTTGGTAACAGGACAAACTAAATTCTTGGCTTTTCGAGTCATAACTTCAGGGGTTCTGTTAGATGACATTTATGTTGCTAGGGTTTCTAACATATATGAGTTCAATAAGATCCCTTTATTTCTAGGTCCTTTGACTTCTAATAATGACATTATTCATATATTTATACTGATTTTGAGACCTCACTTTTTTTAACTTTATCTTTATATTATTGATGATCTTGATATTTATTTTTCTTGTAAATATGTCGCTATAATATTTATATAAACTATTAATGTTTAATAAATTCTAGTTTGTCGGGAAATATGAGTTTGAGGGCTTCTATTGCTTCTGGGGTCATATACTACAACTTTAATAATGTGATGCATTTACATCACGACGAGAAGTTATGAGATATTTTTATAGTTGTCCCATAAATAAGTCAACAGAGGAATTCAACTTCTTTGCATAAGTTTTTGAGTTCGAGTAGTCTACTTCAGATAGTGTCCATGCTTGGAGAGTAGCTTTAGAAAAATAAGTTTTAAAAGTTATTATAATAGCGTTACTTGTTTCTGTTTAATTCTTTGGTTTCTCAGTGTCATTTGATATGCAACTTTTAATGTAATATTTTGGGCTTGTATTTTTTTTTCTTTGTTTTTTTGAATTTTTGAATTTTGTTTGTGTTATTATGTTTGTATTAATTATGAATTGGCTTGCTCTCATATATCATATGAATGGAAGTGCAATACGGTTTTTATTTCAGAAACAATTGCTGCACAGTTGAATTAACCAAACAAGCATACAAATTTACTCACAATAGCTCCTCCTAGTATTTTTTTCTGCAATTATTGAACTTTTTTAAAGAAATGTTGCGGCTCTAAACAAGCCGTAAAAGTCAAAAATAAATATAATTCATAAATATGATATTTGACAAAACATAAATCTTAATCATTAAATTTAGAATTTAAATGTCAATGCATTTCATTTATAACCCATGCATATATATTTAAAATATAAAGAAAATGTTTGAAATAGGATTTAAACATTAAACATAGAATTTAAATTTGCCTTAAGTACCATGATCCATAGTGGCAACATATTTTTCTTCAGAAGAAGCATCATATGTAATAACTCTAATTATTGAATTTTGTGTTATCACCATTTTCAAGTTCTTCATTTTTCACTTCTTTCATTTCACTTTCTTCATCAATTAACATTAAATATAATACAATTTTTAAATAAAATAATAAATTAATAACACAACTAAGTAATGACTATACTTAATTTACTTTTAGATTTTTTTTTAATGCTTTAACCCTACTTTATTTTTATACATCAGACCCTCGTGATTAGTGGTTCTTTTAATTATGTTGTAGTTTGAGCTCGTGTTTCTAGTTATTTTCTATGTGATGAGTTGCATTGGGCCTACTTATTGATCTTTTTGTAGATTTGAAATTTGTGTTATGCTTAGAGTTTGGTGTTGTTCTTGCTTAGATCTATAGTTTTGAGTATGTGAGTTGATGTCGTTTGGTCTCCCATTTTTTTGTGAATGGTGAGTTCCATTTAGTGTATAGTATATGCTTATGAATGAAGAAAAATTCTTTTTTTTATATTGTATTATTTATCTGTTCCCAACATATAACAGAATTTTATCGAGTGAATCACAACTCTTAAACAACTTTCCTGGAAGGAGGATTCAAACAACAACAAAAAATTACTTGTAGAGAAATTTTATCTTATATTACTGTTATCCAGGTTCCCATAGGATTGTAAATTCGTGCATCTTCTTGTTTATAAGCTTATTGCTCTCATTTTAGATATCATGTTATGTCGCAAAAAAACATTAGTATTTTTTTTTTAGTTTGACCATTTGTTCATACTAATCCCCCATCATTCCGTCATGATTGCTAGGTATTACAATTCAATTGATTCGTAAATTATTTTGCTAGCATTTACATTTCATCATCAATTTTATGCATCAAAATTGATCTGCTCTGTAATCACTCTTAATTTCTTACATCACAACACAATTTGCTAGAAAAACAACATTTATCGACAACACCTTAATTTAATTTATCAATTAATATTTTGAATTTTTGTTGCTTATTGCTTCCATTTTCAGGTGAATCTACTGACACACACTGCAGAAGTTCCCTTTTCAAAGAAGGTGTTTTCCAAAATTGAGAAAATAAGAAAGAAAAGAATATCTGCGCTAAAGATGTGCTCAGAAGAAAAAATAGTTCGGCAAAGCACATCTGAAAGTGATGATGTCCAAATGTTGAATATAGAAGGGACAACTAGTAAACATGACTGTTTAGCTGATACGGTTGATTGCAAAATAGGCTGCCATAAGAAAACAGATAGATACATGCAAGAGAGAGAATGTGATATTGAAGTCAAGCCTGATCTTGACACCATGAAATCAGATACAACTTTAGAAGGTAAGTAGTTTTCTTGTCCTCTCTCTTTGTCTCCTTTCTTTGTTCTTTATTTATCTTACACTATAATTGCAAGGCGGGGATGTTTTTGTTACAAGAATGTTACCCTGAATTTGATATCAGAAGCTGAAAAAGACGAGCGGAAAATGGTTCACAAGAATGTTATCTCTTATTTTCGAAGGAATGTCAGAACCTCAGGTTATTCTAAAGAGCTATGTTCTGGATATGTTGAGCCTTCTTCCTCTGTAACCTCAGTTGAATCTGAGTTTGTGAAACCTGGGACAAAGAAAACAGAGGAAGAACTTGATATTCAAGGATTTGAGCATTTTTCTGCCTTTGGGAAAACGAGCAGGCTAAATGAAGATAAGATAATCGATTATAAAAAATCTGATGCTAACATAAATGTTAAAGCTGAGAAGCTACAAGTGCAGCAACAGCACAATATGTCAAATGGTAGTGTTAAGGAAAGAAATCAAGATGGTGGCGCCCTGTGGGATATTTTTCGAAGAGAAGATGTTTCGAAATTAGAAGAATATCTCAGAAAACATTATAGGGAATTTAGACATTTCAACGACTGCCCTATTGAGACGGTAGAATATGTCATAGATCAGCTTTCAATTTTTGCTCTTGAGCTTTGATGAAATTGTTTGACAGCATGATTTTCGTTCTCTATTGTTAGGTCTATCATCCTATATATGACCAAACTTTCTATCTAACAATGGAACACAAGAAAAAACTTAAGGAAGAATATGGTGAGTCTCTCTATGCCATTGATGTGGCACTTCTATCTATTACTTTGCATTTTAACCAAATCTCATACTAGGATTCTTTGCCTAGGAATTGAGCCCTGGACTTTTGTTCAGAAGCTTGGAGAGGCTGTATTCATCCCAGCTGGTTGCCCACATCAGGTTAGAAATCTTAAGGTAAGCTAATGATGTTTACTCACTATTTCCCCGCATTTCAAAACATTGCATTATATATAATGTGTTTCTTATGATCATAATTTCGCCTTAAACATCATGTATTTACTTTATTTATTTTGCAACTCATTTGATTAAGTGATATGAAATTAAAGATTAGTGTATGATCTATCTGTGGCAGTCATGCATAAAGGTTGCACTGGACTTTGTATCTCCTGAAAATGTTCGTGAATGCGTCAAGCTGACAGAAGAATTTCGCCTACTTCCCCGGTTCCACAGAGCCAACGAGGATAAGCTAGAGGTTGTCCGCTCATAACAATTCCTATGAATTTACATATTTAACACTTACATATCTACAACCTTACCTATGAAAAATAAAAGTTAAAATTATGGTATTTCTTATGTGAAATGAAAGATTTGGGTGGTATAATTGTAAAAAAAAGTGAAGTTTAGGTGCTAGGTATGTAAATACATAGGAATTGGATGGTATGCTTATAAAAGTCTCTCTCTTTTTTTTGGCACAATCATGCGTTTTCCTTGTATAATGATTCTGATGCATTGGCTGTCGTAATTAATTCGGTTATTTTAATGTAAATTATCCAGGTGAAGAAACTGGCTCTACATGCTCTTCTTCAAATTGTGAATTATTTAGAAGGCAAATTCTTTCCACAGTGAGTTTGATTTCATTGTGCTTTCCTTGTTTTCTTTCACTGCTCTTCCTTGTCTGCTCTTCCCTTTTTCATGAAGGTGATCTAGAGTTACAATCAATAAATTGTGTGCATAAATCTCCTCTCTTGTTATTTTTCATTGCACTTCAGCTGCATCCCATTTCTACATAAATTACTTCGTGCTGGTCGGTCCAATCGGCTCGAACTGCAAATCAGTCTTTTGGCTGGTTTGGTCCTCAATCGAAACTACTTTTGCACATAACCAGAATTGAATCAAACCAATTTTTCTCCAGCCAACTGGCTCTATATTGATCGTGTTTTAGCTTTTTGATTTTGATCGAAAGCGTAGAAATAAATGCTTTAGTTTAAAAATAAATAAAATAATCAGAATATTATATCCCAATATATTGACTTTAAAATGTGTATAGTAAACACTTATTTTGCAGAGAGAACAAAACTGGGGCATGAAATCACAAACCTGGACTGATATGCTTTCTCAGAAGACTTTCAACTTGCTTTTGCCTTCTGGTTAAATCGATGGGAAAGGTGAGTATTCTATTTTGTTTTTGGTCTTTCTATTTGGAATGCTCAGTTTTGATGCCGATTCAGAAAGAATTGAATGTTCATAACTGCTGTTTCTGCTTTTGTATATTTTGTTTAGGCTCATTTTGCTTTACAAAGCCGTTGCTAGTTAAAAAGCTAAGTTTGTGATATTTGCATACCATAAGCCTTCAAATCTAACAAACGAATTGAAGGGTTACATTGCGATTGATGATTGTTGGTGGTGGTGATTGTTTGTTGATAGTGGGGGCGAGTTGTTGGCGAGCAATGATAGAGGTGTAAATGAGCCGGATATGAGCCCGTTCGGCTTGTTAAAAAATACCACTGTTAATGTTCGGCTTGTTTACATTTCAAATACAAAATTTGTTTGTATTCGGCTCGTTTGCTTAGTGAGCCGAACACATGCTTTTCACGAACAAAGAACCGTTTTGTTTGCCCTAATCACACTTGCAGTCGTTATGGGTGAAAACAAGTTTGAGGGTGAGTGAGATCTGGCTAGATTTGTTAAAAAAATATCATTGTTCGTGTTCGACTCGTTAATATAATGATTTGAAAATATTTGTTTGTGTTTGCCTCAATTGCTAATCTCGCTGAATAAGTTGTTCACAAACAATGAATAATTTTGACAACTCTAATGACACGAGAGTAGAATTTTAAGGGTTGAGCAAGACTTAAGGCTTATTATTTATATTAAAATATTTATTAAAATAAAATTTAATATAATTTTCTTATATTTTTAATTAATAGTTTTAATTGATTATAAATCTTTCTAGCCTTGTAGTTTGTTAAATTATTTAAAAATATTATTTCATATTTATATAATTTAATTATTTTGAGCCTAATCTAGCGGAACTCTAGCGGAACACAAATGAACAAAATTTTGGTTGTGGTCGGCTCGTTTGTTTGTCGAACGAATTAAAACGTGAGCTATTTAATGTGTTGAACATGAATTGTTAGTGAAAAATATGACGTTTTAACAGCCCTAAGTGGTAATGTTGATGGTGGTGGTGAATGCCTATTAGAGCGAGGGCGAGATAGTTCTTGGTCATGTTTCATTTAAAATTTATTGTAAATTTACACAGCTATTTTTGTCCTTTATATTGAACGCCCAAAATTTTAGAACTTATATTTGTGATGTAATAACAGCTTCTAATTATATAAATATAAAGTTGGAGGAAGATATAAAGATATATTTTGTTCATCTTAAAGAATACATTAGTTGTGAGGGCAATCGTATGGCATATAGAATGTATTCTTTTTATCATTATACTCTTCATTCTTTTCTTTATTGCATTAATACAAATATAAGCTTTTTAACTTGATTGAATTTATAAATTTTAAATATTTGATGGATGAAAAAATTGAATCCATGATTTCTATTGTATGATAAATATTTATGGCTATGACGGTCAAAAAAGCTCGTTGTTTGCAAACAATTCGTGTTCAGCTCGTTTGTTGAGTAAGCGAGCCGAACACGAACAAATTTTTAATGTTTGAATTATAAACGAGCCGAACACGAACATTTCTTTGTTTGCTCATGTTAGGCTCATTTTAGTTCGAAATAAAAAAAATATATATATAATTATATATATAATAATATATTATATATATTTATATCTAAGTTTAAAACATAGCATCTTATGTGGTAATGTGGTTAATCTCTTATTTTGTATATATTAGGTTTAGGTTCGAATGACACACTTTACATCTATTTTTTTTCAATTTAATTTGAACGAGTCAATTTCAAGCCGAACACGAGTGGAACACGAATATACTGTTTACGAGCTGATTTTGAACACGAGCTATTTTAAACGAGCCGAACACGAGCTCAGCCTGAGCTCGCTCAAGCTCAGCTCGTTTACAGCCCTATTTATAGCCGGTGAAAATCATTCAAACCAATATTTCTGATTTTACTTCTAAAGTATCAAAATAATAAAAGGCAAACTTTAGTTCAATGCAATAAGCGTTGTTTCACAATTTCAATATCGAAAATGCCAGGATGCTTGATTAGCACCCTAGTTTTGATATTTATATTTGTGCTATTTTTCAATGCTTGGTAATAGTTAGAGTGGATAAAAATCCGAGTTTAAGAAGAGCAAGGATCGTCTTAAAATTAACTCGATTGGATTGAGTTTGGCTTGAAATTGACTCATGGTTTGTTTTATTTGATTTTGAGGCAATGCAACTTGAAATTGAATCAAGCTCAATCCTGCTCGAGATCGCGGCAAGTTTGGGTCAAATTGAGTTATTTGAATCCGTTTTTGGCTTCTAGGTAGAGATTGGCTTGATTTGACTCAATATTGAAAAGATGTGGCTCAAATTAAGTTATTTGGATTCGTTCTAGCTCTATTGTTTTTCATTATATAGATAATTAAATAAAAAATGGTTCGAGCTAATCTAAGAGCTAGTTCAAGTTGATTTTGTGTATGACTCAAAGCAGCTTCAAGAAAAAAATATTCCAAATTTTCGGCACTTTTACTCATTTTGTTAATTTCGATTTGAGCCAAATTTTGAATCTATATTCGAGCAAGGATCTTCGAGCTAAATTCAAAGCCTTGGTAATAGTGGTATGTTTTCATGTGATAAGAATGATGTGTTTAATAAATGTAAAAAATTAAAAAATAAGTATTACATATATAATAAGAATTATGCTATACATATGTAATTGCATTAAAAACTAGTGGGTGATAAAATCTTAAAATTTATGTTCAACTATTGTTAAGGGTTTGTTTAGGATGGCTTCAGTTGTTTGAAGAAGTAATTATGAAGTCGCCGCAGAAAAAAATGTTTTTAAAAAAGTTATGTTGGCTATTTTAACTTTTTTTTTTTTTGGAAGAGAGATCAGGACTTTTTAGTAGCCACAACAACTAATCAGGTTTGATGGCAAACACAGTTTTTGAAAAAATAGACAAAACATAATTTTGCTAAATAAAAAAAAACTTTGAGGTGCGACACTGCACCGTCGACCCAAACTAAAAAATATTACATCTGGAGTCCTGATACCAAAATGCAACAGAACTCTAGTGAAATTATGTCATGTGTTCGGAGGAGACAGACCATACATTAAAATATAAATTTTTTTATTTAATGAATTTATCGTGTGATGTGACACAATTTCGTTAGTCTTAGTGCAATTCAGAGATTCTGATGTAATATTTTTTCTACCCTAGCACATCCTAAATAACAATTTTTAAAAGGGGTGTTTGTGATTTAAGTTAAATAGTATTTACTAAATTGAATAAATGTAGATTTATTAGAGTCAATGATATTAAATCCCAAAACTTTATTTAGTATTATTCAATTTAAATTCATTTAAATCCATAAGAAATATTTAATAGTTTGTCAAAATTTTCCAATTGATTATTGAATTTAATAAATCCGGGATTTAGATTATACGGATGGATTTGACGATCCTGAAAATGTGTTCGTCGAATTTAAATGACATCCGCACGATAATTCATCCACAAAAATAGGTTACCAAACACCGCCTCATCGTTTAGAAAACTTCGTATTTGCAATAAAAGCTACATTAATATAAAATTAGCCACAAATTGATTGCACATTCAAACCTCAGAGTAGGAAGACACTGCCTAAAAACAAAGGATGTTTCCCTTATTCAAATCCAAGTGAAAGCGATCGGACTAGAGACGGTGTGCTTCCCGTCGGACCACACTAAGCGGCCCGACCCCACAGAACCCGACGGCCGCAAAGCCGCCGTGAACTTCACCCTGTATCCCTTCTTCTCCCCCGCCTCCCCGAAACTCAGCTCCGAAGGCTCCACCGTTATCTTAACCCCCCCGCCGTCCACCTTCGCCGTTACCACCGCCTTATAAATACCCGGCGATCCCACATTCGTCACCACCCGATCGTGTATCAATGTCGTCGTCGTTTCCCCGGAGATCGCAGCCGGAAACACCACGGAGAACGAAGGGTAGTTGAGGTTCGACGCCGCGTAGGTCTTGTTGGAATCGCAGGAGAAGTTCCGGCCCTTCGCGAGGGCCGCGATCTGCATCGAAGTGTAGTTCAGCGCGCAGAGGAAGTCGAGATAATCCTCGGCGGTGAGATCGTAGACGAGCCCGGGATCTATGGCTCTTGGAGGATCCACATGGCCGGCGCCGAAATCGAACGGTGTCGCTGGTTTTCCGGTGGCGACATCGAGGATGGGGTTGCCGTCGGGGTATTCTGCGTAGGCTGTGGTCATCAGCGCCGATTTAATGGCGGCCGGACTCCAATCCGGATGCGCCCCCTTGAGAAGTGCGGCGAGGCCACTGATGTGCGGGCACGACATCGAGGTACCGGAGATGATGTTGAACTCCACTCGCCGGGAATCGGACGGTAATCCTGTAGGTCCGACGGCGCCCGTCCATGCAGAGAGGATGTTGACGCCGGGTGCGATGAGATCCGGCTTCAAGATCTCCGGCGTAACAGCGTTCGGACCTCGAGAAGAGAACGCCGCCACCACCGGCGATGGCTGGATGCCGACCTTCGTCCCGCCAAAGATAATGGTTGCGGTTGGATTCGGATCGGAGATTGCGTATGTCTTGATTACGTTACCTGCGTTTTCACCAACCAGCGTCGCCGGGAGGAGGTGTGCATCAGCGACGAGCTCCTCGCCGTTCGCGGCAGTGTTCACCAGCACCATGCCAGCTCCGCCGGCGTTTTTTACCACCATTCCCTTCTGAACCCTAGCATTCACACCTCTCTCACACAGCACCACTTTTCCGGCGACTTTCTCCGGCACTAGGGTTCCAGGCAAGCATAAATTTCCATTGGAGGAATTCGTCGCGTTGCCGGCGAAGATGAAGCTGATTGGAGAAGACTGAATCGGCTTCCCGCTGTATAGCGACACACCGGTGAAATTCTTCCCATCGCCTAGCACAACATATGCCGGAAAATCCCTATCGATCGTCCCTGCGCCAACGGTTGTAATCCACGGCGCGAGATTTGACGCCGTGGCGGCCCCAGGTCCGGAATTACCCGCCGAGCAGGAAACCAGCACCCCTCTCTCCATCGCATTAAAGGCCCCGATAGCGATGCTATCACGGAAATACTCCGCCGCGCCGCCTCCGAGCGAGAGAGAAAGCACATTACACCCGTCCTCAACAGCCGCATCCATGGCGGCGAGGATATCGGAGCTGAAACATCCTCCAGCCCAACAAACCTTATAAATCGCTAGACGCGCGCGCGTCGACATGCCGCGAGCTTTTCCCTCTGCGTACCCAAGAAGACTGGCTTCCAGTACTTCCGAGCCTGCTGCAGTAGTGGATGTATGCGTACCGTGGCCATCCCCATCGCGAGGTGATCTGCTCTCCCTGCTATCATCAATCACTCCTGCACTGGATTCATATCCCTTGGAGAAAAACCTCGCGCCGATGAGTTTGCGGTTGCAGGCCTTAGCAGGATCGAAGTCCTTCGCCTCAACGCAGTAACCCTTCCACCCCGTCGGAATAGGGCCGAAACCGGTATCATCGAAGCTGTTCCGTTCAGGCCAGACGCCGGTATCGAGAACGCCGATGATAATATCAGTTGCAGTGTCGGAATCTTGGATAACGCGGACATCGCTGCGATCGAGGCCGAGGAACTCCGGCGTGCGAGTGGTGTGAAGATCGTAAGGTGTGTCGGGGAGCACGGAGAGGACGCCGGGGCGGTGGGCTAGGGTTCGGGCCTCGGCGGCCGTGAGGCTGGCCGAGAAACCATGGGCGACGGTGTGGTAGGTGTATAGAATCTGAGCAGAGGCGGAAACAGAGCGTAGAGATTCGTCGTACCAGTCGGAGTGATATTCAAAAAGCGCAGGCTTTTGGGGCTTGGACATGTGGATGATGTACGATGATCTGATTGCCGAAGCAGAGTTGGGGAGGAGGAGGAGGAGGAGGAGGAGGAGGGAGGAGAGGATGGGTTGGGCCATGGCGAAGCTGTAGGACTGAGAGAAATCTCCGGTGGGTGGGAAAAGGTTGAAGGGGGAATGGAGAAAGTGGGGCTTATAAAGGATAAGGGTCACATGGGGGGACCGTGCGGCAGAACGATTACGCGCATGGTTTGTCCTGTTGCGCAGATGAGTTCCCGTGAGGAGTGGGAACGGTGGGGGTTGGGGATCTGCAGGTCACTGGGACGGCCGCCGATGACGCCGGTGGTTGTGGGAATTGGTCAACGTGAAACTGCTAATTGGCGCGCCGGGTGGGAGAGTGGTGCCCTGAACTTATAGCTAGAAGATCATCAACTCAATTTGAGCAAGGTAATTTCAATTTTGATCCGGCTTGAGTTGATTTTGACGTAAAATGGTTCGAAAGAACTCGATTTGGGCTGGCTCGTTCAAGTCGGATTGAGCTCAATCCGATTTTGTCACGAGTTGATTTTGTGGGGCGTGCTAAATCTATGTGAATCAAGTTCAAGCCCCTTCCGAACTCTGGAACTATGAAAACTCACTAGATCAAGACAATGAACATGAACTATCTGTGTGTTATGGGATTTTGGCTAAATTTATTCAAGCGTCCCTTCCAAAATTTGAATATAATATATATATAAGAAGAATAGAACTTAGAGCTAAGTCTATGCTCTTGAAGAAAAGTTTGAAGCCAACGACCCTTGACAATTATCGTCGAACCACTAATGTCTGGTCATTGCTACGATCACGAGACCACCGTCTCATGATTGACATCATAATCAACCAACATACATCATAGGATAATCATTGTTTTTACAAGGCTACTATTACTCATGAGTCGCTATAATCTATGGTAGCAAAATTTCCATCAACCATTGGTGCACCCGAATCATGACTTTTTTATATGATGACACATGTATAGTGTTGGGATGGTGCAAATGTTTTCACTGCACTTTGGTTCCAATCAGATGAGGTTCCCAGAGCCCCTTGCTTATCATTTCTATTTAGGAGCCACAATGGAGTTGTTGCGGAGGGAGACTATGATGATGAAGATATTGATGATGACATGTCGACGGAGTTTTGAGGGGAGTAGCATTTTTATTTTCTTATTGTATATTTTTTTTAAAATTTGCAAAATATTGAATTGGGGGGAGAGTTTTTTATGTCTTTTGTATTTACTTTTATGTTCCTATTAGTGGTGTGCACTATTATAGTGATTGTTATTTCACTTGCAATGACTCATATTTTATTTTGTTATGCCATATTATGTTTTTGTTCATCTTCCTTTAGGTAATTCATTTATTTAAGCACTTATAGGTAGATAATTTAAGTAGTTGATTAACTTGAAGTTATTCCCTTATGAATTAATAGTTGATTATACTAATTAAATAGATTAATAAACTTAGAAAATTATTGAATTTCATATTGATCTAATGATACTAATTGATTTACTTTAATTTATAATTTTTTTAAAGATTATGAATCTAATTTCACTTGAACATTGTTGACTAAAATCTAATTTAATTAAAGAAGTGATTAAAACTTTATGCAATTAATACATATAAATTTAAAATAATTGGTATCATTTAAATTATAATAATTAAAGTAGATATTAAGAAATTATAATTGATTTAAACAAGGAAGATGAAAAGAAAAATCTTTAAAAAAGCTCATAATGCTTAAAGCAAAACAAAATTACAAAGAAGAGCTAAAATAGGAGAAACCTTGATGATAAGTCTATAAAATATAGAAAAAAAAAAAATGATACCTTAATCTTCTTTAGCTTAAATAATTAAAATCTTATTGAAATTTAGGGTAATATATTTAAAATGTGAAAAATATAAATTGCGCTTATATGATTAATTAAGTTTAAAATGTTACTCATTAGTTAAATAAATCTTATACTCTATGCACTTAGACAACTTGTATTAAAAGAATATTAAATTTATGTGAAAAATTAAGGAATTATTAGTCTAATTGAACCCATGAATTTTACAAGCTATTAATCTCACCAAATGCTTTCTACACTCAAAATAAATCTGAAAGTCCTCCCGAATTTTAATTACTCATTTATATGAAGGAATCATTTTATCTCGAAGATACTTTACAACTCCTAGAAGATACATGTATATTATGATGTTACCCTAATCGAGTTGATATGGGTGGGTGACTTGAATGGGAATCTTCTACCTGATGCTTCACAATAGACTTCTAATTAAAAGATTATTATGCTTCACAGTATCTAGACCTGATATAACAATTGCTATTCAAAAACCCAGTTAGTATTTGACTCGATCAGGTTCTGCTCACTTTGTTGCCGCTCACTGTCTTCTTAGATATTTAAAATATAGACCCGAATAAGAAATTTTCTTCTCCAATCCTTCTGATCGTCAACTTAAACACATCTCAGATACTGATTGGGACTCTTGTCTTGATACATGAAAATCTATAATATGATTCGAACCTTTTTGAGAGATTCCTTGATCTTAGAAACTAAATAAACAAAGCAACATGAACTATACATACATTCTTCTATTCATGTAGCTTCTTAACACTTTATATTTATCTAATTACACTCAAGATAATAATGGAAATTCAAATATTAAAGGCCTAAAAGTCCATTCTCCTTCTATGACAAGAATAAAAAAATGTATTAGAATATTCTCATATTATTTTTTATAAAGATGAATTTAAAAATTATTGAATTTATTTTAATAAGCATATATAAATAAATCTAATACTAGTTTAATTTAAATTAATATAAATTGTATCAATATATTTCAAAATTGATCACACCAACCCCACATATTTGTCGTCTTATAATTAGTGCTTTTGTATGCGGATATCCGCATAATATCTTTCTACAGATAGGAGAAGATCTCGGCTGAAACCTAGCGTAACGGGTAAATTTCAAATTTTTTCAAGCATCCGTTTGAAGTTCTGCCCATCACTCTCGATATCTTGTTTCTAGATCCGCCATGGAAGCGACCTCCTCTTCCCAAGCGGCGAACAAACAGAAGAAAGAGCAAGGAATGGAAACACCGTCGCCGGTGCTCGGGAGCGGAAGAAAGGTAACCCTAACTGTGATTGAACCTTTTTATTACCTAATCAAAACCCTAACGAGTTTCAATCTTCAAGATGCTGCCTCTGTTGTGCATTATCGATTTTGTTCCGATTTCTTGTTTGTTGATGTTGGATTTTCTTGAAGAGAGTGGTATTCTTTGGCAGGAATTGATGATTTTTGTTAGTAGTTTCTCTTGAGCTTTGCTTTGATGCGACGTGTTAATTTAAGCTGTTTATCATAACGAGCGTGGGTGAAATAGGAATAAGTTGCTGTTGGGATGAATTCTCCTGACAGTTCATTTGATTTTAAGGTTGGGCTAAGAATGTATAGAGTATAATGGGCTGTGATCGAATTTGTATCACATTAGTTTCTAAGAAAATGAAGAATTATGTATTTAATCTATAACCTTAGGAGGTGTTTGGTAGCATGCTATTTATCGAATTTATTCTTCGATTTAGCTTAAATCAAGCCAAAATCCCAAAATAAATAAATCTAACGCTTTGTTAACTGCAGTTTTCTCGCATTCCGCTATTTTCTTCCAGCGTTCCGTCATTTTGATGAAGTAAATCCGAGTATGAGGCGGATTTATTTCTCCGTTGATCGCCACTTCTTCAGTGGCATTATGGATTTGATAAATCCAGATTTATTGGATTGAATAATTCCTATTTAGCGTAAAACTTTGTTGTAGCCGAACACCGCGCTAGTTTTATATTGCTTATATGCATAAGAATTTGACTTCAATTAGTATTCCTTCAATAATGTGGCTCTTTCATTTTCATGGTGGGGTTTTTTTTTTCCCATATTGTGGTTGTTTTACCTAAAATATTAGCGAAAGGGGATGAAATCATAATGGCATTGTCTTACAATAATTGGAAATCTGCTGCTTTATTGGTAGATAAAATTATTTTTATTGAGTAATTAGCCAAGACAATGCAAACGACAAGCTTTATGACAGTTCTTGATATATTATTAGTCATTATGATCTTTGTGTACCAAAAAATTGGGTCAAGGAGTGTCACAAAGTTGGTCATCTTTAGTTTTAGTTCTTTTTTATCATGCACGCAATAATAGATTGTTTTTAATTTTTCAATGATTTTGTAGAAAAGGACCATGTTGCTTAATTCAGTAGCTGAACTGAAAAATATGAAATATTTGAAAGTATTTCAAAAAATGATAAAAATGTTCTTTAACATTCCTCTATGGAGTACTTAGATGTGTGGATGCAGATTCTTTTGTATTTTGATTGCTCTTAGGGTGTAGGGTGAGCTGCATTACCAACAAAGATATGTAATAAACTAAAATGCCTTTGATTGGGAAAGCAATTTGTCATTTACGCAATTATAGCGTGATGAGCCATGCCATCATTAATGATCAAATTGGGCCAGTGCATGCATGTGACTATGATTGCATGAAGCGAGTCTCAAGCATGGAGATAGGTGATAATGATGATGTATATCAGGTGGTGGGATATATATTAAGGGTTTTGAGATCAATGTCAATGATGTTCTAAATAAATTGATCAAATGTAGGGCGAGAGTCACCATAAAATTAATGGCTATCTAACTAAAATCAAATCACAAGATCATACATGAAAGCTTGAGATGGATGCATTGATGGCTATGAATTTGGATCTTTGAGAAGGTCCCATAGAAGGATCTTGGACAAGATCCCAAGTTTAACAATGATGCTGCTCTAAATTGGACGGTAGATTTAGACTATGTTCCTTGAGATCAATTCTCATTTTGCCTCCGTAATGTTTGGTGGATAAATGTCAAAAGTATTAGTGCAAAATAAACCAATTAATTTTTTTTATCGCGCAATCTTGTTTTTTATTTTTATTTGCACATATCATGGTTTGATTGAGTGTTGTTATTCAAAAAAAAACCAAATTTGGATCTTAAATAGTAGTTATCAATTTTAGCATGAATCTTAATGTTGACTATATGGTGTTTCAAATTAATAACATCATATGTTAGGATGTTACAATATAATGACATGCAAATAATTTATGAGTTTTTTGTCTATCTTAATCTTAAGAATCTAAAGTTTTTTGTAATTAGTCATTAATAAGAGAATCTATTATATGCAAAAGCACTTGTCGATCATTAATAAGAGAATCTACTTTATGCAAAAGCACCTGTCTAGAATAGATATAACGAACACTTAAAATTTTAACAAACATACCAAAAACTATAAAAAAAACATTAAGATTTATATTATTCAACTGAATTTTTAGGCTTACATTCATAGTAGTGGAGGCATAAATTGATCAACTACTAAGAATCCAATTCTACTTAGAAGAGGATCATTCAAGAATGCTCTTGCTCTAATACAATATAAAAATCTAAAAACCTCTTCATATTATTTTCATGTACAATAATCACACAAAGAAATAATAAAAAAAGATTTTCAAAAAAACTCTCCCCAAATGCTACTAGGAGTCTTTCCACTTTCTTCAAATCCTTTTTTTTAATATTTCTTAATATTTTTAAGCTACAGATCTTAGCTTTTTTGTTTGTCTATCTTTTGTTATTAAGTAAAAGTTAAAGATGTAGATCTTTTCGCAAAATATCTCATTCTCACTAACATTCCTATGGATGCTTTTCCTATGGATACTCTAAAGTTTGGCAATCACATTTTTAGAATAAAGTTAATTCTTAACATTTTGTGCCACAAAAAGGACGTATGAAAGGATGATAACGGGCACAAGAGCAGTAAATCTTGATCGAATCATCTAATATCTCATACATATTCCTTAAATCCCTAACGATGAAATTGAAATCGATAAAACGTGATTTAATTTGTATACTTTCTTTTATGTGTAACAAGTATTATCCTCACTTAAAAAGAAAAAAATTATTAGAGAGGCCTTAGTCATGCACAAGAACTTCAACGACTTCAACATAGTTAATCGCCCCTTCTCAGCTGTATCCCTTATTTTCCAAACAGGATTGGATTTCCAAGAGGACTTTTTGTCCATCTCCACCTTACTTTCTTAAAGTTATGGCATATTCTAAGAATTCATGAGTGCGTCTTCTCAAGTCTCTACTAAATTAACATTTCTTGCATCTTTGATTCATAAAAATCAAAATTCTTGAGGTATTAAGCTTCCGCATCTATTAGTGCTTCCTCATCATATTTCTCATTACTCTTTGATGTCATTTGCGAAAACCTACTTTTTATGTGAACATGCTTACCAGGAACTAGTATGATGAATGCATAAATATAGTAATAACACCAAACCATGGTTGATACAAGGGCATCAAGATTTTGTTCGAATGTCAATTTGGAGCTTATTTATTTTTAAATTATTAACGACAAACTTTGAATCTATTCTCACCCAAGAAGATAATTTAGATTGAACTGGTACTTCATCACTTAAATCATTTGTTTTGAGTTTGGTGCTTGTCGGCCGTTAATTTTTGAAAAGAAATGGATGATTTTTGTAAAATATGAAAATAATTTTAATTTCATCATCAGAGGTCGTCCGCATCAGAGGATTTTGTGCATTTTGTGTGTGTGTGTGTGATCATAAAGTCCTGAAGAGGTTTTCCTAGGGCTTGAGATCCTATTGGGAACTTCTTTTTGGGCCTCCACATGATAGTCCTTAACTACTCGACCATACGACAATGGTTTTGAGATCATCAATGCGAGACATCACAAGAGAAATAAGAAGTGGCTGGAATTTTTAAGAGGATGAATTCCAATACTAGTTTTTTAAGATAGTTAATAGGACCCCTAGAGCTAGATCCCAGGATCCTAAGGAAAAATGTAATGACCTTAAAATGAAGTCAACAGTGCACTGTTGCTTTGAACAAATATGTCATAAATATTTCTGAAAATAGATATTGTGCAATGTAAACTGAATCCAATTATATTCAGAATCTTTAATTGTTTGGCTTCTTCAATAAATTTTCATGAATAACTTCTATTAATGAACAATTACAGAATATTGAATTGAAAGAAGCTGGACATTCTGTTCGGAGCTCTGTAACTAAATTTGCATCACAAATCAAGAAACCCTCACATCGAAGAAGCCCTTCTCCTCTCAATTGGTTTCCAAGAAAAAAGACAGATTCATTCCTGATGAGAAAGATTAGGCTACTCCAGGTGCATCTTGTTTTATGTTTCACCTCTTTGTTTGCATTTGAATTACTTCGAATAACCTCTTAATGTTCCAGGAAGGTGGTGGGATGAGCTTGTCTTTAGTTGAAACTCTTGGCAATGCCAATCCTCACTATTCAAGGATAGCGAGGGAGAAGATTGCAGCTCAAGAGGCTGCGAGCAAAGCCATGGAGGCTCATAAAGCTGCAATGGTTGAAGCTTCTTGGTGTAGAATTCTTCAAGCAGCAAGGTGATGGGAAGAACAAACTTTTCTTCAATACATTGCGTTTGTAAAATTTATAATGTATTCTTTCGTTACATATAGGATTCAAAGCAAAGATGCAGAGTCCAAGTTTGAGAAAGCAGAATTACGTGCTGCAGAAGCTTTTGAAGAAGCAAAGCTATTGGGAGTTATGATGTTCGATAAACCTGATTGTCCCAGGATATCATGTGAGGTGTCATCATCATCTTTACTCACTGGGGGAAAATCTCCACACGCAGTCACTGCTTCTTTCGAAACTGAATTCGAGGTGGATAGGGAAGTTGCAGCTGCAGTCAAGAGAGCATTTATTATACTTGCCAACAGTTCCTCTTCCTCCAACAAAGAAGAATTCAGAGACTTGTTACAAAATATTAGGCAGAATCCTGATGATTATGAAGCTCTTAGTGCGTTGCCCCAGTGCGAATTTGATCATTGTAGTGGGCTAGAATGCGAAGTGCATCCCACTGTAATTGGCACTGAGATCAGTGAGAAGTATAATGAAGTCAGCCATAGGAAAAGCAGTTATGGAATGCTTCTACAATGCCATGATGATAATAAGAGCTCTAATTCATTTGAAGATCTTGCAAACAGAATGGTTGATAGGCTTAAAGAACTTCAGGAAGATGAGCTTTCATCCCTCGCTACTATCGTCGCTACCTGCGGTTTGAATGCTGCTCTTCTTGAAATGCAGAGCAAGCAAGATCATGATTCACGAGGTGGAGCGCCGAGGAAGTCAAATGTGAACCGGTTAGCTTACCCATCTAAGGTTAAGAAGGAAGATACCACCGTTGTGCCTAGTCTGGATAAGTTCCTAGTGAAACATGTGTCCAGGCTTGAAAGAGAAGTACATGAAGCTAAGAATTCTCAGAAGAAGAATGATGATGTATTAGAAGAATCTGATAAGCACATTTCTGATGATAGAGCTGGTCAACGGACTAGAACAAAAACACAGTCCGCCTCCGATCTTGGAAGTATTCTCGTAAAGCGTGTATCCAAACTTGAAAGAGAAATCCATGAAGCTAAAAATTCTCAGAAGCAAAGACCGAAAAATTGTGTTACTATATCAGGAGGAAAAAATTATTCTAATCATGAACTGTTGATTGAAGAATCTGCTCCTGCTCCTCTTGAAGAGCCTGCTCGTGATGTCAAGTTTGTTGAGTCAATTCCGATAGCTTCTGCTGATAAAAAGGAAGAAAAGGGGAATCACAAGTGTAATGCACTTGTGTCAAACTCGTTGACAGGAGAGAAGAGTCTGGCGCTTAAACTAAGGGAAATAACAAATGGAAGCATGACCAAATCTGAGCTCAACAAGAAAATAATTTCTCATGATGCAAGAGCTAACTCGGAAACTCGAAAATCATTTTCATGTCAGACTAAACATGGATCAGATGAATTCCAACAAGCAAGTCTAGATAAAATTCTTGTCAAGCCTGTTAACTGGTTAGAGAGAGAGAAAATGAAAGCTATGGCGAAAGGAAATACGATTTTGGTAAAAAAAAAGGATCGGCAACTTGAGAAGATTAAACCTCTTGATGAAATTTTGGTAAACCATCACCTAAAGATGGATAAAACCAAGCTAGCTGCGGTTCAAGAAGGAAGTTACATTGTAATGCAGAAAAGAAGACAGCCCGTGGAGAAGATAGAGAGCCTAGATGAGATTTTAGTGAAGCATCAATCCAAACTTGAGAGAGCCAAGTTAGAAGCAGCTCAAAATTCAGAAAATGATATAAAAAATGTTGATTCTCGCAGGGAAGCAAGGGAGAGAGAGCTAAAAGAAGCATGGGGAGGCTTGAGCTTAGGAAATTCTCTCCGCCCTCATCTTTCAAAGCTTGAGAAAGACATGGTGAGTTTGTATTATCTATTCTTCTTTCTAGTTTCACTGAAGATCTATTTCAGTTTTTCTCTGTGGGAATTATGTCCACCCTCTCTCCATCTTTCAGGCTGCCTGGAGAAGAGCTGAGCAGGAAGCAAAGAGCCGTAGAAGGGAGTATTGACAGTCAAATTTCTGCATTTTTTTTCTCTTGAAAGTTAGCCTTCTTTTTTTTTGTTGGGTGCTGCGATGAGCATGTGCAGATGCTATCTTTGAGTCCCGTTTAAATAGATGTTCAAACAGTGGATCTAATTTCTCTGACTGAGTTGAGCTTCTGATTCCAAATGATAACTCATATTTTCTGAAGCATCCATCTATAAGTGCAGCATGTACTTAGTATTGAGATTAGGAGAATTTGCATATATAGAACACATATTTAAGACCTCAATTTTGTTATTTACTTGCATAATATTTCAGTGTCATGATCAAATCAAAATATATGCATGAAAGGGTATGTTTTACTTCATAAATATTGATATTAGGGATGAAAACTCAATATTTTTAAGTTCATATTCCTCAAAGTAGTTGCTTCCTTTTCGATATTGAGAAATGGGCAGGCTTTATATTGCTGTGTGTTTTTTATTAAGACAAAATTAGTTGGAGTTTACTGTCAAGTGTTAAATTATGAAGAAACAGTAAGGGATAATGAATGATAGAAAAAAGTGATAGTATTCAGTTTCTGCTCTTATTTAATTATAGTCATAATCTGCATTTTGTTGTTCCTATTAAAATGCACTAGTCCAGCTCTGCAACTTATTCATTTCTCTCAGCTTTCTCATATTTAGGTTAAAATAAATTATTCTTATTGGATATTTTAGACTTTTTTCTTGTAATTTTAATATTGATTGTGCATTATCTGGTTCTTGCAGTATATCTTAGTTAACAGTCTTTATATATGCTACTATGAAAGTTAATGCTGTGTTTGAACCATTGGTATCAATTGGCAAAGGATTTTTAACAAAATTTCTCCTATTTTTTTCTTTTTTGGGACATCTGAGTTAATATAAAGTTAGGAAGGAAGGCAACTTTATATTGAAAAGGCGAGCTGCATAACTAAATGGAGAAAACCAATTTTGGTTAAGGGTAGATTATTGAGATCATCCCCTAAAAGCATGCCATGCTTGCCTCCTGTAAGTGGCAATATTTGATTTTGATAGGTCATTTCTCCTTATGGTAGACTTCATTTGCTATGTCCTTATACTAGCCAATCATAGTATAATTTCTATATATATATATAAAC